GAAAACTCAAGTGTTTTATTTTCTACTTACCTCGAAAATCAAGTAAGTGCATTCTGCATTTTTGTTGTTTCAACATCGTTGAAACAGCAGCAACAACAAATTTCCCCATAAGAAGATAGAAATTTGTTTACTTCAAAAACATCATTTTTGATTTAATTATCTACAGGACATTCTGCAAGGAATCTTTCATATATATTTTTGACTATAAATACCTTCATTCGAATGCATTTTTTAAACACTCGTTATATAAAAATATAGAAGTTTATTAGAGTAGGGCGACAGTGTTCATTTAAAAAGCATTTTGAAGCATATCAGGAAATGTAAAAATCACGAAAATTTATGAAGCAGCTAATCTTATCCTATCTTATATAGGTAGACCTCTCGAACGATGCATAGAAAGCATTGTTCATATAAAATTTGGATAAATTGATCTTTCGGTATCTTTTTATACTTTTAGAAAATGATCCACCAAAACTTCTGCACAACTTTTTCTGTATTTAGCGCCGTATTTTTTCCAAGCTTTTCAAATTAAATAATAATTTTGAATAACTCCAGCACACATTTACCATTTAAAAATTCCGAAATTTTTTTTAATTAGAGAAAGACGTGGATATTTTAATAAGTAAAATTATTTGGGTATCTGCTTTGTACATCTAACGATATTTGATCTTTATTTGTTCGGATTTAATAAGTGGTGTCAAAATTCAGTCAAAACTTTAGTGTGGATGCATAAAAGCTAATGAATAAAAATAATTTCTTTAAACATTCTTTTGTATAAATGGATGTATTTTTGAGACACAATGATGAACAAAAACGATGGTTTTACTCTTTAATGAACTACTCAAAATTGTTTGTCAAATTTAAAGTTGTTTTGTTTTCTCTGTCAAGATTCAAGGGTTCTTCATATTTTTAGAGCAGAAAAAAATTAATTGTGTTATTTTTAAAGTAATTTGAACTCTTCCAAATTTTTCATAATTTTGTGCAGAATGTTTCATAATCGTTTCAGAGTTTCTTCAATTGCCTGCACTTTTTCAAATATAAAGAAAATCGCTTGAAATTTTGTACGGTTAATGGTACGTATTTTTGTAGTCAATAAAACGCCCCGAAGTCTTTTGTCTCTATACACCAGGGGCACTACAATTCAAAGTACAGTGTGATCGAATTTAAACTGAACAGTTCTTTAAATCAACTGCACATGGGAAAAATAAAACAACTAATTTGAAAGTGTCCTTAGTTAGTATAATTTCTCAAAAAAAGTTTCCTAAATGTTTCTAAAAATTAGTCAAAATTTCTTAATTAAAGCTAATTTTTAATTTGTAAATTTTTAAGGGACATTTTTGTCCAGAAACTGACTTTAAGTATTAAACAAAATACAGACAAATATAATAACTATTTTATCGTTATAAGCTAAATTTTGACATCTATTAAAAAAAGTATAGTCATTACAGACAGAATAATATTCTCTTTATTTTAGAAGAAACCCGGGCAACGCCGGGTACACGCAACTAGTATGAATATATTATTTACCCTATTTTAGGAGCGGTTTTTGTTGAGTACTGCATCCAAAAGTGACATCGTAGACATTCATTCAAGATCTAATATAGTTATAGTTTTTTGTTCAGTACTGCATACAAAAGTGGCATCATAGACATTCATTCAAGATCTAATATAGTTTATAGTTTTCTCGATAGTAGGAAACTACATCCGATTCTCTTTTAAAATTGTTATTTTCTGAGGATATACAACAAATTAAAGGTTTTGAAATAAAAATAGTTTACCGGTGGAAAATATGAGTGATGTGAGTAATGTATATAGATCTACAACAATATAACTTTGATAACAAATTTCCGATTCTGTTTTAAAATAGTTTTTTAGAGGATATGTAGCGGATTACAGGTTTTGAAATAAGAATAGTTTTCGCGTGGAAAATATAAGTGATGATACGAATCCAAAACCGATTTTACGGATTAGATGAAAATCGATTTTTGATAATAAATTAAATTGACTACAGATTTTTATTTTACTTAATCGTAAAGTAAGTTAAGGACCTACAAACATTTTAGAGTTTTCAAATAAAATAAATTTTTGATAAAAATTTTAACTACCTAAATAATAATTCTTTTCTATCTATCTACATATATAAAAATCAATGTATGTTTGTTTATTTGTTTGTTTGTTTGTACCTTATAGGAGGCAAAACCACTGAAGCGATCTTCTTGAAATTTTCAGTGTATGTTCCCCTATATCTGGAAGGAACTATTGGCTACTTTTTATTTTGAAATTGCAAGTGGGAGGGGGGCCACGCCCACTTCTTCGAAAGTCGAATATCTCGGAACATGGTACAACTAGAGTCCTCAAATTTTTTATGGACAATTTTGACATCCATATTATTATTTGATGGAAAAATTGCAGGACTAGAAATAGGGGGCGTGGCACCCCCATCTATTTATATAAAAATGAATGTGTGTTTGTATGTTTGTTTGTATGTTTTGACTTTATAGACAGCTAAACGGCTGGACCGATTTTTCTGAAGTTTTCACTGTGTCTTCCTGTATATCTGGAAGGAACTATAGGCTACTTTTTACTTCAAGCTTTCAAGTGGGCGACGTGCCACGCCCATATTAAAAATTTGTATTAAAAGTCGCATATCTCAGAAACTGCAAGAGTTGGAGTCCTCAAATGTTGTATGGGCAACTTTCACATCCATAAGAATATTTTTGGACTAAATGGGCGGAATACCTATAGTGGGCGTGGCACCTTCCATATGAAGAAATTATTAAATCAGTATAGCTGAGAAAATATAACAGATAGAGTCCTTAAATTTTGTCGGAACCAGTATAGTGTCAATATTATTATTTAAGGAAAAAGGGGACGGGCTAGCATTAGGGGGCGTGGCACCTCCCATATGAATAAAATATACAAAAATTCGTTTCTCTGGGAAACTAATAGATCTAGCTTCTTAAAATTTTGCTTTAACTTTAATATTCATATGGATATTTTGGTGAAAAAGGGCGGACTTTCATCAGTGGGGCTTGGATCGCCCCATATAATAGATAAATTCGTACATATATCTGAGAAACTGCAATAACAACTTTGACATCCATGTAAACATTTGGGTAATAATTTGGCGTTGTCGTTTGTCTGGGAAACTAATAGACCTAAAATCTTCAAATTTTGCACATTTGAGGAAAATGGGCGGACTTTTATTAGGTGGGGGGAAGGTTGATTTTGGAACTTCCCATATGACCTAAATAGAATTAAATGTCTGGGAAACTAATAGGTAGAGCAAAAATATTTTGACATCAATGTGAACATTTTGGTAATAAATTGGCTGACTAGCAAATTGGAACCTCCCATATGAATTAAATGCAACAATTTTACATGAAAAACTTTGACATTCATGTGAACATTTAGAGAAAAATGGGCGGACTTTCAATAGGACCTATGCATCTCCCATATGAATTAAAAACAAAATTTCGTATATCTGGGAAACTATTATATTATTCAAATTTTTCATAGGTTACATTAAAATCTAAATCAACGTTTAGAAAAATTGGTTAACTTGCAATAATTTGCGTGGCATCCCCAATATGTAAAAAATGTATATCTGAAAACTATTATACATAGTTAGAATCTTCAAAATCGTAGTGTTTTTTTTATTTTAGTGTAGCAAAGCACACTGGGTATAGCTAGTTTTTTTTATAAATGGATGTATTTTTGAGAAACAAAGACGAAAAAACGGTGGTTTTACTCTTTGATGAACAACTCAAAATTGTTTGTCAAATTAAAAATAGTTTTGTTTTCTCCGTCAATATTCAAGGATTCTTCATATTTTCCTAGGGCAGAAAAAAACTTAATTTTGTTCTTTTTTAAGAAATTTGAAATCAATGAGCCCAAATTTTTCATGATTTTGTGCAGAATTTTTCATAATCGCTTCAGAGTTTCTTCAATTGCATGTACTTTTTCAAACAGCAAAAAAAATCGCTTGAAATTTTATACAGTTAATAGTACGTATTTTTGAAATTAATAGTATTCTCCGAAGACTTTTGCCTCTTTACACCAGGGGTACTACAATTCAAAGTACGGTGTGAGGTAATTTAAACTGAACAGTTATTTAAATCTACTGCACATGGAAAAAATAAAACAAATCATTTGAAAGTGTCCTTAGTTCCCTACCAGTGATTGAAAATGCTGATTTCATGACTTTTCTCAAAAAAAAGTTTTTTAAATTTTTCTACAAATTTCCTTATTTAAGCTCATTTTCAATTTCTAATTTCTAGGATTAAAAAAAGGCAGAAAAATAAAATAACTATTTTATCGTTATAAGATAAATATTGATATATTTCAAAAAAAAGTCATTACAGATAGAAAAATATTATCTTTACTTTTTGAAGAAACCCGGACAACGCCGGGTACACGCAACTAGTTTTTTATAATATTAAAACGCAAAATAAAACACTCAGCTTAAATATTTGTAGTTTTATTAATTTTATTACTGGCAAATAATTACATAATTCTTGCAGGTAATGATATATATAAATACATATTTACATCATTATAGGAACAAATTATTATATTTGAAATAATGAGATTAATTTGACAAATTTTTGCTGGGACTCTAAACTTATTTATATAAAATTTTAAAAATTTTAGTACGTGATTTGAGAACACTCTAAAAAGTTTCATTATCCTATTTAGGCAAGTTTATCCCTATAAATACATACATTTTTTATATCAGAGACATTGCTTTACATTGGATAAATTATAATTTTTATTTCATACATATATCATATTCACACAAAAAACCACCCTACTAACTAATTTAGCCAACCCACCACTAACTGGTGTTTTCTCACCCTAAATAAAGGTTTTATTTGTTTTAGTTTGGTCACTCGCTAGATATTGCTAGCCTCCACAATTACACCTGCTAGACTGGACATTAGTACGACAAGTTTATACGACAACACACAAACGGCCGCTACATAAAAAAACCATCGGGTCGATTTTTATACTTTAACGTGCGCACTGTTAAAAAACTGTTACAAAGTTTTATATTGTAAAATATCACAATATAAAATTTTTATTCAAATTCTAAAGTTATTTTAAAACAAATAATTAATTAAAAATTAACATACAAATCAAAAATATACACAAACAAAAAAAAATATTTCTGTTAATGGCGAATATTAAAAGTTATATCCGATAGTAGTGGAAAAACATTAAAAAGGGTATGTTTTTTCATTTTTGCGAAGGTTTGTTATGGTGTAATTTAAAAAATACAATATAAAAATACAATATAAATAAAACAAAAGCTGCTAAATACCCGATCACTCTCATGGTATGATGCTTTTTTGGTGATATATGTAACGCATAATAGCCAATCAAAAACTATAACATCCATCCCAGAAGCATGTAATCAATCTACACGTCGCAACTTAAAAGGACATTTTGCGGCCATACATACTACATATGTACATATGTATGTACATATGTATACTTATTCAGCCATTCAAAAGCACTACTACTTTGTTTATTTAGAAGAAGAGATTATTAAATTTTAATTTATTAACTCATTCTATTGGATATACATAAGTTAAGTATTCCTTCGATCTTTGTACTGCAATGCTCTGATGTAAATATTTTTATACCCTTAACCACTATATTGGGGACCTTAACTCCCATATTAAGCCTTTTTTAGATAGGCTTAAATGCATTGGAGTTAATGTAAAATTCATCATAAAGTTTTTTGTAGAAAATTTATCATTTGTGAAATATAATCATTAGGGAATAACTAATTCGGCGAAATTTTTGGCATACCACCACGAGATGGCCAATGTTGTATAATTATTGAAAATAATTTTTTTAGGTCATTTGGAATCAAAAACATCACACACTAAACCCAATTTCTAATATAAACCAATTTTTTTTTAAGTTTTTTAGAATTTCTACCTAGAAGTATATTTTTGTCACATCGCGACTCATCATTGCCTATATCTCCGAACTTTTTGATTTTTCGCAAATATACTATTTTACATCCCTAAATCAAAAAGTCCATAAAAAATTATTTGTTGGTCATATTTGTTTTGACCATATCTCCGATTCTTATGGACCGATTTTACGGGTTTTAAACAACTAAACACCTCAAAGCTTATTTAAATTAATTATCTAAGATTTGGATTCCGAAGACTTATGGAGCCTTCAAAAAACTGATTATAAAAAACAGACGGACAGACATTTGGTGCGTGAACTTTTTAACCAACCGCGAAAAAATAATAATGTAGTTTCTCATAGTTTTTAATACTCTATTCGACTATGATATGCCAACTTGCATATTTGTAAAGAATGTCAATAGTTATATCCCTAATAATCATGGTGTGGTAAAAAAGTATAGACGGCCGTATGATGGCCCGTCTATACTTTTTACGTGTATTAAAATGTCTCGCATATACTGCCTGAATTTAAGAAGGTAAATTTGGACCCGTTTGTAAATAAAACTGGTTTATATAAATTTTTCCTAATCTTTTCCAACATTCTTCCTAAATTTGTGAAAATATCAAATTTATTTAAGCAAACTACATTCCATGTCATTGCCAGTCTGATATGCGGTTAACAATTTAAGGCTGTGATCATATTTTTTGACGAGTAGAGTTTTTTCTGATGTTATGTGAAGAGGCGTTGCCACTGACCAAATTTTAATCCTATCAAATCTTTGTCAAAAACCTACCAAAATCGTTTAAAACCTAAAATTTTTATAAAATCATATATAAGTTTTTTTTTGGAGAAATGTATGCACTGAAAATAATCCATGCTTAACTTTACGAAAAAAAATTTCGTAACTACTTTTTTCGTAATATATACGAACATTTCTTGTATAATACGAAATATTGTTTAATCAACCCCTTTTCTAATTTTACGAAAGTACGAAAACCTTTCGTAATATCTTTTTTCGTATATATTAAGAAACTTTGTTTTCTTTTACAAAAATAATTTCGTTAAGGCATGTAATATTTAACGAAAGTAGCGAATTTTTTCGTAACAAGATTATTTAGTAATATACAAGAATTATTTTTGATTTCACACAAAAATTATTTTGTTACGATTTTTTTTTTTTGTTATTTTCGTAATTTTAAGGGAGTTAAATTAAACGTAATTTTTAATTAGGCAGCTAATTTCCTGTAAAATTTTTTATGTTTTTTTAAAAAACATAAAAAATTTGTTTTTTTTTTAATTTGCAATCTTTTTCTAAATTTACAATAATTATTTTAAAAGAACTAAAATATTTATGTCTTTAAAAAAATCGTAAAATGAACAAACTTTTTTTCTAAAATTATATAAAATTATTTTGCATTTTACTAAAATATTTCGTACAATTTCGTATATATTACGAAAGAATATCGTGGTGCGAAACCACGAAGCATTTCGTACAATGTACAACATTTTTCGTGTATATTAGGCATGGATTATTTTCAGTGTGGCTAATTTATTAAGGTATTTCGTCCCCTAAAATGTAATAGGGTGTTACAACACTATTCAAAGTTTTACGATACATTTATTTCTTGAGTTGCTTTTCTAAATTATGAGGGGAAACGTCCTAGAAGATATGCATTTTCTAATATCTGAATAGTTTTTATATCTTGTAAATAATTTCAATGATTAAAATAATTCGATTAAATTTGTTACATATGATCAATCCATAAAGCCATCTAGACCCAATAAAAATCGGAAAGCTCCTCGAAAATCATTTTAATGTTCAAAAATACGTTGGTTATGCTGCAATTGTGAACAAATTTACCATAACTCAGTATCCAAGAATCATACTATGAACTATTAGACGCGGTCCCCCAGCTCCCACACTGAAAATAATCCATGCTTAACTTTACGAAAAAAATTTTCGTAACTACTTTTTTCGTAATATATACGAAAATTTCGTGTATAATACGAAATATTGTTTAATCAACCCCTTTTCTAATTTTACGAAAGTACGAAAACCTGTCGTAATATCTTTTTTCATATATATTAAGAAACTTTGTTTTCTTTTACAAAAATAATTTTGTTAAGGCATGTAATATTTAACGAAAGTAACGATTATTTTCGTAACACGATTATTTAGTAATATACAAGAATTATTTTTGATTTCACAAAAAAATTATTTTGTTACGATTTTTTTTTATTTTCGTAATTTTAAGGGAGTTAAATTAAACGTAATTTAAAATTTAATTAGGCAGCTAATTTCCTGTAAAATTTTTTATGTTTTTTTAAAAATCATAAAAAATTTGTTTTTTTTTTAATTCGCAGTCTTTTTCTAAATTTACAATATTATTTTAAAAGAACTAAAATATTTATGTCTTAAAAAAAATCGTAAAATGAACAAATTTTTTTTTTCTAAAATTATATAAAATTATTTTGCATTTTATTAAAATATTTCGTACAATTTCGTATATATTACGAAAGAATTTCCTGGTGCGAAACCACGAAGCATTTCGTACAATGTACAACATTTTTCGTGTATACAAAAAATAATATTAATATGTATGTACATACCGTACTTTTCGCTTATAGTCACAACCCTTAATTGCACAGAAGTTGAGGGCTATATCGTTAAAGTGATTATAAATTTTTTTATATACCACAATGTGCTTATAAAGAAAATCTTATATAATCATTTTTTGTGAATATAAGAAAATAAAAATTCATGTTTATTAAAGAAATAAATATTTAAACTCTTAAGTTTCCCATTTGTGCAAGTTTATTCGACTTGTTTCATGAAACCCCTGTTCAAATTCTGTTCAATTGCATACAATATTTGTAAACATTTTAAAACTATGTCAAACGAAATTAAAAAATAAGATTCGTCTCAGCCGAATATAGCACTCTAACTGAGCCGAATCTTAAATACCCTCCACCAGCTACTTTTAATTGATCCAATACTTGTGGAAATATGAAAGTTTTCTCATATTTTTAATAGAAAACACCCACAATTTGTTACAATATTTAATAATTTGCATGTAAGCGTTTGTGTGAAAGAATTATGGAAATTAAAATATATTGTTATACACAAATTGTTTATATGTACTAAACAAATTTTACTGAAGGTAATGTAACTAGTTAAATACTTTTAAAGTAGTTTGCGGGAAGGGGCATAGTATGGGAGCTATGACCAATTATAGACCGATCGTAAAAGTTCTTACAGTAACATTTGTGTATATAAAAGCTATATTCAGTCAAATTCTGTATCTATGTATATAGTTATTTGGTAATAAGCAAGGCAAGGATTTTCATGCACTATAAAATGGGGGAATATGCATTAAAAATGTGGAACATATGCACCAAAAAATATTTCCTTGTGAAATTTATTTATTAACACTATTTTTTCTTTTGTCGTATTTAAGTAAATTACATGTTTTTTTTTTTTCAAATGAGTGTAACTTTTCCCCTATTGGCCCTGGAAAAATTGTCCAAAGGAGTTTAGATAGAAATTTTTTTACTGTTTACAATTTATGTATGTACAAAATATGCTATAAATATGTAAAAAATATACAAAATATATACATTTTAAAGCAAATTATGCATTTATACAAAATATGCAACAACATATCGATGCCATTTTGATTCTTTGATTCAAAAAGAAAACTACTTAAAAGTTATTTTTTGTTACTGACTACAAACATGCATTTGCATACAAATCCTTGCCCTGGTAATAAGTAATGTGTGTTTAAGAGATTTTCGGAAGAAGACCTTGTATGGAAGCTATGACCAATTATAGACCGATCGTAAAAATATTTCACAGTAACAAAAGCAAAATTTCTAATTTCTGTATCTATGTATATGATTAATGTACATTTAAGTGATTTTCGTAAGGGTATCTTGTATGGGAGCTATGACTTAATACGGTCCGAACGGAAAAAGATATTCTCAGTAACATTTCTGGAAATAAAAGCATTATTATGCCAAATTTTATATGGATATCATTCCATTGTGTAAAAGTAATATTTGTGTCAAAGTTGTATGTGTTTTTCTGAAATGTACCTTGTATGGGAGCTATGTGGACCGATCGGGAAAAAAATTTACAGTAACATTTCTGTATATAAAAGCAATATTTGCGTTTAAGTGATTTTCGAGAGAGGACCTTGTATGGGAGCTTTGACCAAATTAGGACCGATAATGAAAAAATTTTAAAATAAAATTTCTGAGTACAAAAGTAATATTTTGTATGGATATCGTTATTTCG